CCGCCGTTGCTCCGCGTGGGGCTGCCATGTTGCTGCTGCTGCTTCAGTTGGAATGGAACCGTCGCCCTCATGGGTTGCAGGCGGCTCCCAGGTCCCCCGGCCGTGTTGACTGCACCACTCCCGAGGGCACCGGCCGGCGTGGGGGACCCATTGCGCCTCACCCGCTGGGACATGGTCCCCCCTCCCCGGTGACTGGGCGAGACGAGGGGGGTTTTCTCTTGTTGGGTTGCAGGGGGAGGATTCTTGGGGCCAGAGGGAAGGTCCCCGCGACCAAGTGACGAAGCCGGACTCCGGGGCGCGGGGAGGAGACTGGGCCGCGGCCGGCAGTAACAAGGTGGTGCAGCCGCCGCCGCCGTCGCTGCTCCTCATCAACAATAGTGTCTCCTCTGCTGCCCCCGCCCCCCGCGGGCGCCCATTGGTGCAGCGTCAGCCGCGCTCGAGCCGCTCCACCGCGCCCATTGGCTGCGAGCGGCTCTGGTCCTGGGCCCCCGGGGCCTTAGAGAGCCTGGGTTTGTGCGGAGACCGTCTGCTCTTTAAAGAGAAAGAGACCCGCCCCCCGGGGGTAGGGGGAGCGGAGGACGCAGGCCTCGTATGTGCGTGCGTGTGTGTGCGTGCGTGCGTGCGTGCGTGTGTGTGTGTGTGTGTGTGTGTGTGTGTGTGTACTTGTGAATGTACGCGTAAGTGCGCGCCTCATCATACGCGTCTCTCCCTTACCGCTGGGGGGAGCCCTAGGACTCAAGACTCTGGAGTATTGCCAAAGGGACTGCCCAGAACCGGAGCGGTCCCCAGGGACGGTCTGAAGCCTTTCCCCCATAACTTATTTCCTTACCACAGTACTAGGTACTGTGTATTAACACGTACGCGTGTCTCTCTCTAGCTTTTTTTCCCTAAATCTTTTTGTTCTGTCCTCATTCCATCTATGGGGTAGGGCTCAAAAGAGTAAGAAATTTAATTATTCTTACTGGCATTTTATACCCTACCCTTTTTTTTTTTTCCTTGTCTTTTAAAAACTCTACAAAGGGCCAAATCTTGGATAGAATGTGATTTTAGATAGTATCAATTGAGTTCAGTTACCAAATACTATTGCTTCCTCAAGTAACTCAAGTAATCAGGAATTTAAGTAGCTACTTCATATTTCCCAATATCTTGGAAGGATGTCTGCTACAATATAGTGCCTTATTTGACCTTCACAACTATTATTTGAGACAGAACTAGGACAGCCATTCATATTTTAGTTGAGTGAAGGAAACAAGTCTTTGTGATATGGGTACAGAATCCAGATGGCAGGCATTGAAGCCTGTTCTAAAATGACCTAAGGGGCTCCTCATCAAGACAAAAAAGGAAAAAGGTAGACCCATACCCTTCACAGGCATGTTCATTACCTCTTTTCTCTTTGCTTCTTTATTAGATAGACATTCTAGATAGATTTTGTCCTGTAAAAATGTGGAGGTGATGGGTACTGTATAATTGGCTATAGACCTATACACCAACTGGGTCCCTATACACTGTAGCAGAAAGCCTTTGAAGACCTAGAGAAGAGATTTGGATCCCAGATCCAGCATTTACTCTGACCGTGGTCACCAGCCAGTTTCCTTATCTGTAAAATGCAGTTGAATGATATAGTCTCCTTCATACACTTCTGATAATTAACCAAGGGTTCAATGAGAAAGTGGTGTATAGAAGGCAGTCAACATTTCTAGGATCTCAAATGATTCAGAGGCTCATAATTCTCCTTACCATCCATTCCCCTTTTTCCTCCTCTCTCCCCGCAACACAAAAAGAAACTCAGCCCTTAGCCCAGGAACCTGCCTTAAGTTGGCTGGTACTCTGGATAGACCTGGCATTACTACATATTCTCAACAACCTGGAGTGAAGACCAAAATAGTTGCTCACTAAAGAGGAACACAGGAAACTGCCAACAAGACCCATATACAGTACTAAGTCTGATCTTAATGAGAAGGAGAAGAGACATGTCTTTAAGTAAGAATGTTATAGATACTGTACATGGTACTTTGTCTTGCACAAAGTAGGAGCTTTATACTTATGTAACTGAGTTAAGCCAAAAGGAATCGAACAGCTCTAGTATCCTAGGCTCTCTGTTCAGTTACTCTGAATATCACCAAACTAGAGACTGTTGATGGCAAGAAGAGGCTTTTAGCTTCTTTGAGCTAAATAACTGGTTTCTAAAAGAGAAGTTTATTAGATCAAAGAGTAAAACTGTCCTTGACTCAGTCATGAGATCTGGTGGAATCGGTTCATCCTTTCCTACAGAAACTCAAATCCTAAGTGCCTTTTTCTTCTCATGTGACAGTTCAGTTCATTCATCAGTTTAGGGGTTATCTTTAAACAAATAAGAAGGAACACTTCAGCTAAAGCAAGTATTAATCATTTCAGTCAATTTGTACTAAAGTATATTTGTGAGGATGTAAAAGCTTCGAAAGCATGAAATCAGTAAAGAAGGCTAAAAAAATAAAAATATAAATAAAATTTAGGAATTTGCTTGGAAATGTGGATACCTTGGAACAATTTAGTTTGTTTCTAAAGTTCAATAGCAATGAATAAAAGCATAATTTACTTTTGCCCTTGACTTCATTATCTGTTGTGAAAGAGTCAAAGCAAACAGTGTGCATCAAGGTGACATGTTGATCTTTGTTACTAGTTTATGAAAAAAGTCCTTGTATTTCAAGGATCAATGAAATAAACATGTCTTCCTCTAGTTTAACCTTGCTCATCTTAGGATATAATTCAAATTTTCCATTTTCTTTTCAAGGTTGAAATGTAACTGTATGAAGTTGTAGGCAAAAGGCAACATATAGAAATTGGTTTGTGTGTATTTAAAATTCAGAAGAGGGGCTGGGAGTGTAGTTCAGAAGTAGAGTGCTTGCCTAGCACTTGTGGGGCCCTCAGTTTAATCCCCAGTAAATAATAATAATAGGGCTGGGGATGTGGCTCAAGCGGTAGTGCGCTCGCCTGGCATGCGTGCGGCCCGGGTTCGATCCTCAGCACCACATACCAACAAAAGATGTTGTGTCCGCCGAGAACTAAAAAATAAATATTAAAATTTAAAAAAAAAATAAAAATAATAATAATAATAATTTGCTCCTGTATTTGCTTAACTCTTTACAATGATCATGCTGTAGGGAAGAATTTTATAGTGACAAAAGTTTATTTTCCTATAGTTTTAATAGAATCAGACATATCCTTTCATAAAAATCTCTAAAATGTGATTGAATGGAACATTATACAGTCACTAAAATGATCATTATAAAGCCATAAATTCCTCTCACTTAAAGTGGAAAAAAATCAAAATTATGTATCCATTGTAGTTGCAACAATGCAAAAATGTTTATGCATATAAAGTACTAGATGATAAAATACTTGAAAATAGCCCTTTTTTAAAAAAAAATTAGTTGTAGATGAACACAATACCTTTATTTAGTATTTTTTGTGTGGGGCAGGGTGCTAGGGATCATCGAACCCAGTGCTTCATGGGTACTAGGCAAGCACTCTACCACTGACCCACAATACTAGGCCTAGATAGTCATTTTTTTATTAGTTGTTCAAAACATTACAAAGCACTTGACATATCATATTTCATACATTTGATTCAAGCAGATTATGAACTCCCATTTTTACCCCGTATACATATTGCAGATTCACATCGGTTCCACATCCACTTTTTTACATACTGCCATACTAGTGTCTGTTGTATTCTGCTACCCTTCCTATCCTCTACTATCCCCCCTCCCCTCTCCTCCCATCTTCTCTCTCTACCCCATCTACTATAATTCATTTCTCTCTCTTGTTTTTTTTCCCCTTTCCCCTCAATTCCTCTTGTATGTAATTTTGTATAACCAGGAGGGTCTCCTTCCATTTCCATGCAATTTCCCTTCTCT